GCTAGAATGTATATGCTGACTGTAAACATGGCTATAGATGTATCATTTTTTAATTATTCAATAAGTATTTGTTGGATACCAACAATGTGAGACATTATGTGTTAAGTGTAAAACTCAAGGTAGAGAAATGCATGTAACATGCTCCCATTCGTGTGGTTTTTTAAAATGAGGATATCTTCATACATATGTTGACATATGCACAAAACCCGTCAGAAGTATCCACAAGAAACTATTCATAGTAATAACCATAGTAATAATAACCTTATGACACTGTCACTGCATATCCTTTTATATTGCTTGAATGTTCAACGTGTTCATAAATTTTTTTTTCATTAACAATAGCTAACACAAAATTGAATCATATAGGCAAGCACACAATATGAGAAGTGCGTAGAAGAAAACAGAGCAAGAAAAAAAATGGCATAGAATCAATTTCATGACAAGGACATATACCTTACTTGAAGCATAACTACTCTATATTAAACACTAAAGTGTGAACGATATTGATAAAAATAATGAAATATTTCCATATCTATTTTCTTAGAGCTTCTAAGTATCTCTTGGTTCAGGCTGAATGAATATTTTTGAGATCAAATTTACTCCAACTCAAATTCACATAAGAGTTTTGCAGACTGGGACTTAACTGTCATATTAAAATGTCAGCATGGTAAACACTGGACAACCGTATTTTTCAAAGCACGAGTTTGACAAATGTACATCTGCATTCCCAAAACACCTTATGTACTCCCTGAACACAGGAAGCCTTCCATAACTACTTCCCAATTTATTTTGTCCGACTGCTAGAAGGCACTTTTCTGTGCCATGCATGCATTCTTTCCAACGGCCAGACCACTGCCACTTCAGCAGAGTGTATGTGGTCCTTAGATGGAGGCATCTGCAAATACAAGGGATAATTAGGTGGAATGTTCTACTGGATGTTCCAGTGCAGAAAAGGACAGTCTTGCAGAGTGAAGAACTGTCTCACCCCAAATGCCAATAGTTGCCCTGCAGACATTAAAATAACTGACTACCACACCGAAGGTTTGCCAAAGGCCTTGTTAACTCATGCTCCATGACTGTGTAGATTGCTTAAGCACATCTGCCTGCTCCTTAACTTATAGCAGGGCACTGAACAGAGGCCACTGATATTCTCAGCTTCTGCAGAGCACCGATCTTGTTGCCACAGCAACATGAAGGTAAGGCTGAACAAATATAAAACAAACTGCCTAGCTGGACTCCAAGCTCCAATGGCTAAGCTGAATTATGCAGTTGCCAGGAGCAAGACAGAAATCACATTTTTGAGTAATGATACATTTTATATCAGTGAACATGAGTCCTTGAAAATGTCGGTGCTCTATGCTCTAGGGTGTACATCTCATTTTATTACAGTGCCTATCTGTCTGCAGTTAGATGCAGACTGAACAGATGCTTCCCCCATACTACAAAATAAAAACAGATGAAATCACAGAGCTAAGAGGCAATTTGAAATTTTCAGCTAGGGTCTTCACTCCTGCCTGCCTCTGATTTGAGTCATCTCTTATTGATCCCCTAGCATGTTAACCAAAACTATAATGACAATCTTTTTTAAACCAAAAATTAGAATCTCTGCTCTTGCAAAGAGTTTGTTTTGAGAATTTGCTTACATGAAAAAGTATTAGGGATAAACATGACATTATGATGGATATAGAGTTTATTCATTTATTCATTTTAAGCAAGTGTTTATTGAGCATATATTACACCCCAGGCACTGTTCTAGGCATGGCAGCACAGCAGCAAAAAAAAAAAAAAAGACACAATATTCTATTCTCAGCAAGATTATCCTTGAGGGAAAGAGGGATACAGAAATTAAGTTAAATATGTAGTATATTAAAAGTTGGTATGTGGTGTGGGGAAAAAATAAGGCAGACATTAGGGATAGAGCATTGCTACTTTAAATAGAGTCATCAGCAAAGGCCTCATGGAGAAGGTGACATTGGAGCAAAGACGTGAAGGAGAAGAATGAATCATAGGGTTTTAGGCAAAAGGGATTGGGAGCAAAGGCCCTAAGCAGGGGGCATGCTTATGGATGGGGTAATAGTCAGGAAGCCAGTGTGGCTGCAGAAGAAGGAAGGAGGGAGACAGGGGCAGGAGAAGAAGTCAGTGAGGTAAAGGGGACTGGACCATTCAGGCTGAGTCAGCCACTGTGGAGACTCAGGCTTTTACTCTGAGTCAAGTGGGAAACATCGTCTAAGTTTTGAAGAGAGAAGGGACATGATCTGCCTGAAGTTTTAAGGGATTGTTCTGGCTGCCATGGAGTGTAGAGGGCAAGGTTGGAAGCAGGGAAACTATTAGGACAGTTGTGTAACAGGCCAGGCAAGAGATGGTGATGCTTAGCCCAGAATGCTATCACGTGAACTGGTGGGAAGTTAGCAAATAAAACTACTTGCAAGAACAAAGGTCCCCAAAAATGAGGACGTAATGAGTTACCACTGTACCTAATACTGCCTGGTCCAATTCTTTCTTCTTTTTTTAAGGTTTTATTAATATATAACATTTTTACCTATTCGTGGGGTACATGTGATATTTTATTCCATGCATAGAATGTGCAATGATCAAGTCAGGGTATTCAGGATATCCACTAGATCCATGATTTCTTCTTGCCTCATGCCCAACAACATGAGCTTGGGCTTTTGTTCTTCATCTATTTTATCACATTTTTGCCTATTTCATTAAAAGCATATAAACAGGTCTCCTGTATACTGAAAAGAACTGAGAGAGATTTTTCTACCTCTCACCTTTACCTCAATATCCCTCTTACATCTGCACTGCCTTTGTGTTCTAGAAAAATTAAGATTTAACTGTGAGCCAGAAAAAAGGAAATGGAGACCCCATCAGACAGGAGTCATTAGTCTAGGTGAGAGACACTACGGGCAGCAGAAATTAAGAGAAGACAACACATTCCACACACATTTAAAATGTAAATTAGCCTGAACCCAGAAGCCAACCAGCCAGACCTGGTAAGGTGAGAGCTGCGGAAGGTAACTGAGTTCCAGTTTTAAGTGACTGCATGCAGAGTAATGCTGTAACTGAAATGACTGGGTTGGCATGAGAAGACCAAGTTGCAGCACTGAGGATAACGAGTTCTGCATTAGAAATGCTGCACCTGGGATGCTTCTGGAATAGTCAGGTAGAGATATCTAAGCTGCAGTAGGAAATATAGTTTTGAAGCACAGAGAATAAATCAGGGCTAAAGGTAAATGGCAACATCATTTCATCATTCCAGCAATTATGAAAGCCTACAGTTCTATCACTGCTTTCATGTTACAATGCAGTGTGAGAGTTTCCCAGACTGCAAGGGATCAAAGTGCAGTTGACTTTTTATTCTAGACTTATTTATCATTACCCTGGCACTTCGATCTCAGAATGATTCATCAACTTAGAAAGAGCTGTGGACAGCTGAGAATGCTGATCATTTTCTACCTAGAATTTTCTGCAAAAACTAAAAGTTGCTAAACATCAATGGCATGCTTTCTACCATGGGCTATAAGAAACGCTGGATAACTTTAAATTCCCTCCTCTTTTGATGTCATTATCATGACCTTTGGGAGATATCTGAGATCTAGATTTTTTTTGGTAATACTATAAAGTTAGCTTTTTAGTTTGGGGAGGAAGTTTGTTTGAAATTTCTTCAGATGCATACTTAAGCTACAAGGCCAAGATTCATCCACTAACCCCACCCCCACCACCTGCCCTGCCCTGCCCCACCTCAGTGACTCCCTCTCCTCCTCTTCACCTGATACATCCCATCCATCTCTAAGCCCCATGCCTTTTACCTCCGCAGTGTCCCTCTCTATCCACCACCTGATTTCAAACCCCAAACTCACAATATTCACAAACATTGAGGGCCTACTCTATGTCATCTTTTAACTGATCTCCAGATGACTATCAACAGGCTCATGTTACTTCTCTCCTAAGATCTTCTAACAGCTCCTGGTAGCTGCAGAACATCCAGATTCCTTTGCTCCCCACAGCATATGTCTTCACGACCTAGCTCCTGCCCCTCTCTCCGGCCTCATCTCCCCTGAAATTTACACTCAGGAAAACAAAGTACTCAGGGTTCCCCAAACACGAACTCTTTCCTACCTCCCTGTCTTTACACAAATTGCTCCCTATCGTCACCCAACATTCATCATTGAAACCCAGCTGTGAGAGCTCTGGTGCCTTCCCTAACACTCCCAGGGAGAATTAACATTCTCTACTCCACCTCTATAGCTTAATTATCTATATACCACTTGAGGAGTCCCAGATCCTACTGACATTTCAAGAATGATGTCACTTACTCCTCTTCTCCTTCCAGTCCCCACTTAATGTCCTCACTCAAGAGAGTGGCATTCTCCTTAGTTCAGGGACCAAAGACGGAAATCTGGGCTTCGTCTTGCCCCATACATTCAAACCAAGCCCAGTTCATTTTAGTCCCCAGTAGCTCTAATGCTACACTCAGTTCAGACCCTCATCACTGGTGTTTTGATGTTGGGTCTCCCTACTTCCAGTCTTACCTGAGGATATTGTATTTCTGCTCACAATTTTGATGGCAACGTGTCACCTCTGAGCTCAGCCCTATCTCGCATCCTCACCACCAACCAATCACCAAGGCCTCTGATTTTACCTCCCAAATATCACTCAACTTTGAGTGTCTCCAAACCCAATGCATGCCCTTGTTGAGGTCAGGATCACCTCTCATCAGATGAGAGGATTACTCAGGGTTTGGCCGTTTGTCTCCACTCCCATCCCTCAGGACAAAGTGTTAACTCCTTAACACAGCTGACAGGCTGCTCACTAAGCTGTCTCTCACCTCCTGCCTCCCTGCTCTCTACTGATAACCTCCATGCTGGGCCTTCACATAGACTACTCTCCTGTCTAAAACATTCTTACATCTCTCCCTTTGGCTAACTCCTACTCATCCTTCAGGTCTCAGCTTTGATATATACCAAACAACAACACTCTCATAAAACTGGACATACTTCCCCCACGAGCAGGAGATGCTTCTTCCCCAGTCCTGACATCTCCCTACTGAGAGAAGCTCAGGTAGTACAACTCCAGTCAACCTGCTAGGGACGTTTGGATGCTTGTCCCTTGAAACCTCATGTTGAAATGTGATCCCCAATGTTGGAGGTGGGGACTAATAGGAGGTGCCTCGGTTATGGGGGCAGATCCATCACGAATGTCATAGTACCATCCTCATCCTGGCAGTGGCAAGTGAGTCTGCACTCTTAGTTCACACTAAAGCAGGCTGGGAAAGAACCTGGCACCTCCCAAGACCCTCTCACTTCCATCTCTGCAAACTCCAGTTCCCCTTCACCTTCTGCCACAAGTGCAAGCAGCCTTAGGCCATCACCAGATGCAGATGCTCAGTCTTGAACTTGTCCAGGCATCAGAATCATGAGCCAAACAAACCTTTTTCTTTATAAATTACCCAGCCTCAGGTGTTCCTTTATAACAACACAAACTGAGGTACAATCTGTCCCTGCAGAGGACAGTTGATATGACCGGTAAATTTTGACAGGATCGTTGGGTATGAACAGTCCTCCTTGGTCTCCCTCTTGGGAGCCAGCTGCTTTCAAAGGGCAATATTCCGCCTTCCTCCAGAGTTATGTAAGTCTGCCTACTTCGGGAGATGCAGCTGATGGGCCCAGCTGCCTCTCACAAACCACAATAAAAGTGATACTTTGGCTTCCACCTTTACTCATTTTTCAGACTGGAAAAAAACGGATGCTATTTATTTGGGATCCCCCCCAAAAGCAAGAACACCCAACCTAACATGCAGCACATGACACCATAACACCGTTGGACTCTAAGCTTCCTGACAGCAGAGATCAGCTCTTCTTCTCACCCTCATATCCCTAGTAAGGTGCCTAGCAAAAAGTAAATGCTCAATTTTCTACATAAATAAGAAAAGCCCACCATGCCCTGTCCCCCATCAACCTGATTGATCTCATCTCCACACGCTTCTCTGTTCCCATAGTTCACCAACTCCACAATACCAAACCACTTGAATTTTTATAAATAAGCCACTCCTTCACTTCTTGATACATGCTATTCCTTAGGTCTGTATTGCCATTGGGACCACACAATTTCCATCTCCTGGTTTAACAGTAGGCTACTGGGGCCACCTCCTCCATGAAGCCTACCTTGCCTCCTCTAGGTATGCAGTTTGGGTCATATACGCATTATAATACACATCTGCATCTTCACAGTCTATTGATGTCTGCTGGTGACTCACTAGAGTACCATTTTTCAGATTTCTTTGACTGTGAAACAGCAAGAAATCTGTTTTATATAGCAACATACACATGTTCATCGCAACACAGTACACATATTCATTCATGTAACAGATACTTGTTACATGTTTACTCTATGCCAAGCACTGTTCTAGGTATAAACAGTGAACAAAACAGATGAAAATATTTGCCTGCATACAGCTTATATTCCAGAATTTTACACTGAATAAAGAAATACTTAGGCTTCCAGATTTAAAAAAAAATATATAGAAAACACATCTAGCTGGTTTTATACTGCTCCAAGACAATATTCATCATGAGAAAGCAATGAAACAAAGTTGACTACACTCTAAGGGAAAATGTGACATCCAAGTAAAATTATGCCTATTCATCCTTTTACCAGAACAGATGCCAGGAATGATGTTCACCAAATGTTAAACCTAGTTAATTCTGGGTGGCCAGTTTGAGGTCATATGTTACTTTGTTTTTTTAACTGTATTGCTGAATAATAGAGGCCAGGAACCATTTTTCTAAAAATAGTGATTTTATTCTTGATAGTTACTACTTTTTTTTTTTTTTTTTTTAAAAAAGGTCTTTGCTCTGTCACCCAGGCTGGAGTACAGTGGCACCATCTCGGCTCACTGCAACCTCCGCCTCCTGGGTTCAAGCGATTCTCCCGCCTCAGCCTCCCAAGTAGCTGGGACTACAGTCATACACCACCACGCCCAGCTAACTTTTGTATTTTTAGTAGAGACAGGGTTTCACCATGTTGGCCAGGACGGTCTTGATCTCTTGATCTCATGATCTGCCCGCCTCAGCCTCCCAAAGGGCTGTTTTGCTCCATTAAATTGATTTTAAGGCCTACTCATTCGTTATTACTTGTGGCTTAAAAAACATATATGAGACTATACTGCATTGAAGGTAGGAATGTCTTTCAACCACAAATTGCCAAAGAATGCCCAACACTTAGTAGGTACTTAATTAATTAGTGTTTCCTCATAAACAACTGAATGACTGAATGTTTTCCTCAATAGAACTGAGAGCAACTTGACAGCAGTTGAGAGCAGGGCTCATATTTTTTATATCTTGAGTCCCAGGGCATAGCACAGGGCCAGACACAAAGCCAGTCCTCAATAAATACTTATTAAATTGAAATGAGGTCTACTCGTCAGCAGCACAATTTAATAGAGCAATTCACAAATAGGTTTTAAAACAAATGAAACATTTGCCTTGGTTCTTGGTAACAAAAATATTCAAATTAGGGGTTTTAATTATAACAACTTGTATTTGCCCACAAAAACATGATGTTCCCTGGAACAACCTCCCACTTCACAGATGTAAACACTTCTCTTCTCCCAGGAATTCAAACTTGAGGCTACATGTGCTACAAAGGGGACAAACCACACTAACAGGTGCCTCTCTCGCCTCCCAACCTCGATCCTCAAAACTGCCACTTTTTTTTCAGCAAAGAAATTTCAAAATTGTCAGATTACAATTAAGTTTTAAATGAGTTCATTTTCTCCCTCTCAAACTGTATTGTCTAATGGTGTCAGAAGAGCTCGGATAAGGTCTGTGTGACCTTATTACTACAATCCTAATGATGTGTGTTAAAAAATAAAATCTCTGAAGACATCACAGAGCTGTTGCAGGTTTCAAATGAGAAATGTCTCTGAGAAAGAATCAGAAAATATAGGCTTCCTTTAAAATGATCTATAACCCAGTTTTCACAGGGAGGAAAAAAAAAATAAAACTCAGCAAACACCTAACCCTGAACAAATCTCACTTTTTAAAAGAAAGATCTCTTACTTGAGGGAACCACCATACTAATTCTTTGTATTCCTATTTGGAACTACTGCTGCCCATATTTTTTGAAAAAGAACACCATGGCTGTCTACTCTATCAAATCAAAAGAAGTTTTTTCACAGTTGAGGTATTAATTTTTCTGCCTGGCTAAAGAAAACGTGCTTTTTAGTTTACTTATTACAATTTTGTAATTTAGATGTGCGGAGGGCTTGTCTTGGATATTGTTTTGTTTTTGTTTCTCTTTCCTCTTCCTGTTTTCACTTGCAGTATTTTATTTCCACTATGGGTGCAATGGAGACATGCTGACAGGAGTCTAGGCGAGAGAGACGAGGAAGCCAGTGTAAGACAGACCTCTCCCAGCTATACATCTGGGAAGGTGAGTCTATAAACAGCTGGGGTTTTGTTTTTGTTTCATTTTTATGAGAATTTGTTTGTATTAGTGTTTAATTCCATAACACATAGATGGGCTTTCCTCATAATAAACTACGTCAAAGACCAGTGCTCGCTCGGCCTGGTCCCTCTCTCACTCCTTAACGGGCGGGCGAGGGCCATATTCTTCCCTACCTCTTCCTACCTATTTACACACAAGTTGGAAACTTGCAGAACTGTGAAAACTTCGAAAATCACGTGTCTTCCCTATTCCCCTACACACATCAGGGCTTCATCTGAGAGTGGAATACGACCTGGGCCCCGGTGCTCACTCCTGGCATTGCCCTTCGCCCCGGGACCTGGTGGCCCTCTCTCTGCGCCCCAAAACGCCCTGTCCTAGCTCCCTGAGCCCCTGGGACGCCGGGTCCTCTCTTTGTGCCCCAAGACCTCCTGCCCTTTCTCTTGCGCCCCGAGACGTCCTGTCCTCTCTCCCGCGCCCCGGGTTGCTCTGTGCTCTCTTAGCGCTCAAGGACGCCCTGTCCTTTCTCTTTTTGCGTCCCGGGACGCCTTGTCCTCGCTCCCCGAAGCCCGGGACGCCTTGTCCTCGCTCCCCGAAGCCCGGGACGCCTTGTCCTCGCTCCCCGAGGCCCCGGGACGCCCTGTCCTCTCTCTTTGCGCGTCGGGACGCCCTGTCCTCGCTCCCCGCGACCCCGGCCGCCTTACCCGCCGAGGAGCGAGGCCACAGGGCAGCCGCGACCCCAGAGCAAAGAAAACCCTGGCCTGCAGCGTCATGTTGATTCTCCGGAACTCGGGCCGGAAGGCGGCGAAGGCGGTACAGCGCAGGGGGCGGGACAAAAAGAACAAAGTTCTTGCGGCTGGGATCGCTGCCTGGGCTGCCGGGAGCTGGGACCGGGATTGGGACCCAGGCGGCGAGGACGCCCCGCGGCCGTGACCTTGAGGTTCGGGCCGAAGGCGCCGCCTAGCTCTGCCTGGCCGATGCTCTCTCCTGCTCTCTGGTCCGGCCGGGAGTGCTTTGTATAGCAGAGCACGGAGGTCTCTGTGTCCTTGAGCGGGTGGACGAACCCCTGCGCCCTGCAAAGGTTTGTAGATTACAGCTGCGCGTCCCCTACACTGCCCACCAAGGGCGAAAACCTTTTTCAGTAGTATATGTTTATCCCTTAAGTACGTGTTTAAGTGCGGAGTCCGCGTGGCGCCAAGTCACATATTATCAGAATAATATGTTGGATGTAATTTCCGTAAGGCTAAGAGCCTGAAAAACACCAAGGCCAGCTGCCGGCGTTTTGACTTTTCGCAGGACACACCGCCCCCTGTCGCCGAGATGCAGCGTGGCTCCGACCGCCCAACCTTGGCTTTTTTCTCGACGTTATACACACGTTAAAGGCAAACGCAGATTCAGTATATCATTCTCCATCTTAGTGTAATATACCTGTTGACACAAGGCATTAGCTCAGATCACATTTCTTTCCTCATTCGTAAAATGTGAATATTCATAGCTAATTCAGGATTTTAGATAAAAGAGGACGGGTGTGAGGTCCCAGGCTCAGGCTGGTGGTAGATGATATTGAGTGTTTACTATGTGCTGGAATTTTCCAAATGCTGATAAAGAAAGCAGCCCTTGATATTCAGAACCTGGCCCGGGACTCACAGCTAGGTCATACTAATCTATTAAACTTAAACCTTCACACAGAATACCAATTCAGACAAGGTTGCTCTGCGATCATAATAAGGTGAGGCAAAGCAAGTCAACTTCATAGTTCTAAGCACCAACGAAAACAACTCATGGTGCCACCCACAAAACACCAAACACAATGTCCCTTGGCCAAAATGAGTTGCTATTTCTTTTCCAATTACAACTTTAACCTCATTCTACCTATAGACTTAATCTTCCTTCACTATAAGTAAGATTTATTGAGGTTCTCACAGAATTGCCTGCCCTTTCTGACAACATCCATTCTAGAGTGAACCCCAACTTCCTTAGGCCATCTCCTAAATCATTTGAAATCCAAACCCTGTAAGAAGTTCTTTCTAACATTCTAACACCTCTTACTGAGACACCCTATAATTTTTCATGGCATGTGTCCTTCACTGCAAAAAAATAATAAACCCAACTGGTTTATTTGTCAACTGCAGATTTGTCCCTGGTTATCTTTGGCTGGAAGGCCTCGACAGTGCCCTGAAAGCAGTATTAATTCATTGTCTCAGTGTTGATTTTCCTGAAGCAGACTCTGAGACCGGTATCCAGTGCAAGTGACCCATTTGAGAACCTGGGGAAGCACTAGCAGGGAAGAGAAGGTAGGCAACCCAGGTAAGTCATCCAGGCGTCTGCCAGTGGGCTACTAGAGCTTAATGCCACAGGGGAAACTCTGGGTGGAAATGGAGAACCCACGCCTCAGAGAAATCCCATCCAAAGGATGAGGAAGCTGGGGTATTAGCACACAAACTCTCACGCCAACGGTTGAGGGCCAGGACTATAGATTCCCCAGCACTCTGGACTGTGACAGTAGCATCAGGGCTTGCTTCAGAAAAAGACCTCAAGAAAAGTGACACAGACACTATCGTTGGAGTTAGATGGTGCCCTGAAATAGTGTTTACCACAAACTTAGCTGCAATAAAAGTCTGACTCCCTTTTTTGACGTTTGATTGCTGATAGTTCTTCCCCTGTTTCCCGCATCTGGGCAAGTCGATAAGAAAGCCCAGACGCTCCCTCCTTTGGCTCTGGCAGCCAAGCCCTTTCTCGTGTGTGGAAACTATTTGTCCAGCCCAATCCCCTAACCATTATAAAAACCCCAAAACATTTTTTCCTTGCTATATTAGTTTTCTAGGGCTGCCACAAGAAAGTGTGGCAGGCCAGGTTTCACTAACGCAGGCCTCCATCACAACTGTTTCAGTAATGACTGAGTGGATAAGTTAAATATTAAAAGCTAAAAAAAAAAAACCAATGTCCTTATACAAAGGCTGAGATGTAACAAAAGCCCATCAGCAGTTTTTCCTAGACCTTTCCTGGGCCTTAAACTTAAAGCATGACAAAATAATGAAGGATTCTTAACAGGACCCATTCAGGATTAAACAAGTTTTATTGGGGGCCTGAAGAAACTCCCCAGGCCTCCACAAACAAGTCTATTGGAGGACTGAAGGAACTCCCCAAACCTCCATAATCTAGCAGGAGACAAAATAAGGGTAATCACCCAGCACCTAGACCCATTTAGACTAAGTAAATTAGTGAGGCTCCAGAGGAAGGTCTTCAGGACTCAGACCTTAGTTATAGATTAAAAGAAGTTTATTACTTATGTCTTTAGATGAATGTACACTTACATGTAGACATATAGCTTGGAAAGTATATAAACTCTGAAAAACTTTGAATTTTGAGTTGGTCTGGTGATAATTTCCAAGCCTGTAACTGGTTACAGAAATAAAAACTTTCTTCCTCCCCAGTTCATCGGCATCTCATTACTGGCAGCAAGAAATAGCAGCTGACCCTCAGTTTGGTCCAGGAACAAAACTACCACAGATTGGGTGGCTTAAATGGAAATTTGTTTCCTCACAGTTCTGGAGGCCACAAGTCAGCAGAGCTGGTTTCTTGTGGAGCCACTGTGGGACCATCTTCTCCCTATGTCTTTACATGATCCTCCTGTGCACCTTTCAATTTCTAAATTGCCTCTTCTTATGAGAACACCAGTCGTGTTGGATTAAGGCCCACCCTCAATGACCTAATTTAACTGGAATTATCTCCCTAAAGACTCTATCTCCAAATATAGTCACATTCTGACGTATTGGGGGTTAAGAGTTCAATGTATATATTTGGCTGGGAGAAAGGAGAAGTAACACAATTCAGCCCAGAACACTTGCTCTCTTAAATAACTTTTAGACTAACTTAGGAGGCCTGTTCTGTCCTCCCAAAAAAAAACCTTGAGCATATATCAATAATAAACCTTTTGCTACGCTCTTGATATATGTATAGGGGCACTGTCATTCTTGACTTCCAAACCAAATTTTAAGTGGGGTTCATCTTGTTTCTAAGAAGAAGTTGCAACATTAGTGATACGGTTTGGATTTGTGTCCCTACCCAAACCTCATGTCAAATTGTAATCCCCAGTGTTGGAATTGGGGCCTGGTGAGAGGTGACTGGATCATGGGGGCAGATTTCTCCCTTTGGTGCTATTCTCCTGATAGAGTTCTCAGGAAATCTGGTTGTTTAAAAGTGTGTGGCACTTCCCACCCTCTCTGTTCTTCCTGCTCCAGCTGTGTAAGACAGCCTGCTTCCCCTTCGCCTTCCACCATGATTGTAAGTTTCCTGAGGCCTCTCCAGTCATACTTTCTGTGTAGCCTACAGAACTGTGAGTCAATTAAACCTCGTTTCTTTATAAATTACTCAGTATGAGGTATGTCTTTATAGCATTGTGAGAATGGAGTAACACAATTAGTAACTTAAAACAATCATTTATTATTTCACAGTTCACAGGAGTCAGGAGTCTAAGCACAGCTTAGCTGAATCCTTGGCTCTGGGTCTCAGAAGACTGCAATCAAGGTGTCAACTGGGCTGTTTTTATCTGGAGTCCCAACTGGAGAAGATCTGATCCCCAGCTCATCCAGATTGTTTGCAGAATTATTTTCCTCATAGCCATATGACTGACAGCCCCAGATTTTTGCTGGATGTTGGCTGGAGTTGCCTTCGGCTTCTCGAAGTCACCTCCATCCCTTCCCATGCGGGCTTCCTCAGCAGACTGCTTACTACATCAAGCCAGCAAGGATAATTTTGTACCTCAGGGAGGCCCCAGCCCATCTTTTAAGGACAATCATAAGATTAAGTGAGGCCCACTGAAAATAGTCTTAATCTCCTTTTGATTAAATGAAATCAACTGACTTGGGACTGCAAACCAAAAAGTGACTGAGGCAGGTCTCTGTCGGTTAGAGATCATTTAGCCAAGGTTGAGGACATGTCTGGGGAAAAAAATGCAACTCACAGAAGCATCTGTAACCCATGCTTTTTCCAAAGGGGGTTTTGGGAAATTATTTATTTAAAAAAGAAGAGCAAGCAGGAGAAAAAAAAATAAATAAATAAAAAAGGAAAAGAGGGTAGACAGTGAGGCAGATGGTTCCAGTCTTTTGAGACTCTGATTAGCCTCAGTAAATCTACATTTTACATAAGATAAAATAAACATGTGAAAAGAGGGAGTAGACGAAATGACGTTATGTCCTGGGATTATGAAATTACAGCTATTGGTTTGGGAACAACAACAACAAAAAGACAGTATTGGTGACTGAGTTCCCAAGCTTAACTTTCCCTATGGCATAGTGAGTGCAGAGTCCCTATATTCTGTTTTTCTTTCACAGGATCTTAGTTGCATCTGCAAAATTCTTTCACCTTTGCCACATACTGTTAACTAGAAGTGAGTCACAGTTCCTATCCATACTCAAGGGAAGGGAATTATACAGAGCATGAATACCAGGGACTGGACTCATGGGACCATCTGAGAACTCTGTCTACCACAACCATACACTAGACATGAAAAAGAAGGTTGCAAAAGTTTTAGGTAGACCCCCCGTATTAGTCCATTCTTGCATTCCTATAAATAAATATCGAAGACTGAGTAATTTATAGGAAAAGAGGTTTAATTGGCTCATGGTTCTGCAGGCGGTATAGGAAGCACTGTGGCATCTGCTTCTGGGGAGGCCTGAGGAAGCTTCCACTCATGGAAGGCAAAGGGGCACACTTTTAATTGACTAGATCTCAGGAGAATTCCCTCACTATGGCAAAGATAGTGCCAAGTGGAATAGTGAGTGCTAAAC